CAGGATGGACACTGATATTTCCCCTCCCCAGTGAATCACAGCAAATGCTCTTGCATCCACGGTATGAAGAAATTCTCTTCCCACCCCAGCTGTACACATGCATTGGGACTGCAGAAACCAAGCGAGTTCTTTCTGTCTTCATAATTATCACTGATTCTAAATTATTCTCAAAGACTGGTTGAATGTGTTCTTCACAAAGTACGTAATAGGCATCCCCATGTTCTTCCATAATTACATGAGCCATGTAGTGGTACAACCTAAGTGGGACTTGGCCTAAAACTTGCACTTGAACATCTCTTAGGAGCTTGTAAAAGGGAGCGCCGTCTATCTTGCCATTATCAGCCTTCACATTGATGCCTGGGGGCATTTAAACATAATTATATTGAGAGTCCCAGAGACAATATGGGTCCGAAGTCGTAAGTGACTTTGCTCAGGTCAGTAACAGAGCCAGGAAGAACTCAGAAGCTTTGATTCTTGGTCCCCAGCTCCATCCATCACACTACTTTTTCTCCCTTCTAATTAATGGACAAATTACAAATTAAACTGAAGAGCCCATAAGCTTTGGATTAAATGTAGGACCAAGTACAACTGTGCAGCTGTGTAGATCAAATAAAGAGAACAGGAAATAAATATTGACTCTTTTTAAAAATTACTGATGAACAAAAATAAAAATGAACCATAAACTTATTCCCCAAGTTTATTTATTCTGCATTTCAAGCACAGTGGAGACTGGATACCCAGCACAAAACCCTCTCTAATGCACATTCCTGTGGCACAATGGAAGTTCTCAGGTTAATTTCCACTATTGATAAAGATTTCTACTTAAATTCTAATAGGTAAGGCTTTAAAAGGGGGGAGCAAGAGCTAAAACATAATGAGCTGTGAAATAAGGAAGAACACCTTTTACAAACAGTGTTTTAAAAAATTTGATTGGAAAAACTAACCTATGATAAAACTGCATAAGTTAATTGATGAAACATCACTAATTATTGTTGTGAAGAACATGCAAGAGACCAGCATTTGCCCAGACAGCCACATGCTTTCATGACTGGGACAGAATATGTGGGAAAACCAAGAAAAGTTACCAAAAGGAAATTCCAATTACTTTTTTCGCCTTAAAT